AAAAAAAAAAAAAGGTTAACTATGTCTTCATATTTCTTGTCATTCAGTGAACATTTTGAAACCAAACAAACACTTTTGACTTTGAATTTAAACAAATTTGTCAATAGTTTGGGTGTAGGTTTCAAAAGGAAGTCAATATGCATTTTGGCCTTAGAGAACAACCTTGGGTACATTGGCTAACAATCTACATTCCACACAATCTTTTTTGGCCAATGCAAAGTTACGAACATTGAACAGATTCTACAATTACAAAATACTCATTAAAGATCCCACCACAGGCATGATCAGCTATATTCTGCAGAATGACAAGGCACATTTTTTGTTCCACCGATTCTCTGCTTCAACTGTGTCATATACAGAAATGAGGATTTTTTGAGTGCTCAAATCTGCCTGGAAGCTGATCGCAATTGTTATCAAATGGAAAAAAGTATGACGGTTGATCTGGATTGTTGACCTTTTACTAGCTATTTCATTACGTCTGCCTGATATTGAATCTGATATCCAAGTCATGGTAACATTTGTGTGACCTAACCTATATACCTGTGGCACAATACAACAGGATGTGACCTAACCAATATACCTGTGGCACAATACAACAGGATGTTACCTAACCTATATACCTGTGGCACAATACAATATGATGTTACCTTACCTATATACCTGTGGCACAATACAACAGGATGTGACCTAACCTATATATCTGTGGCACAATACAACAGGATGTGACCTAACCTATTTATCTGTGGCACAATACAACAGGATGTGACCTAACCTATATACCTGTGGCACAATACAACAGGATGTGACCTAACCTATATACCTGTAGCACAATACAACAGAATGTGACCTAACCTATATACCTGTGGCACAATACAACAGGATGTTACCTAACCGATATACCTGTGGCACAATACAACAGGATGTGACTTAACCTATATACCTGTGGCACAATACAACAGGATGTGACCTAACCTATATACCTGTGGCACAATACAACAGGATGTGACCTAACCTATATACCTGTGGCAAAATACAACAGGATGTGACCTAACCTATATACCTGTGGCACAATACAACAGGATTTTAATCGATCTGTTCCCATCTAATGATACGTGCATGTTACAGCCAGAAACAAAGAAACAACTTGAAAAAACAAAAACATTTTGCTATGCTGATGCTGAATGACTAGAAATTAAGACTTCTTTATTGAATTTGAAACATATTTCATTTACAAAATCCTTACCAATAGCTGCCAATTACCTGTACAGCTTCGTTGGTATTTATGCCCCACAGCTACCAGCTCTGTGTCATTATTACCTTCAAGCTTTCACAGTTTTGAAAACCTATTTTGACTAATTGCGCTGCCTGTTTGCAGCCAGCAGCCATAACATGGGGATGGTTTATTAGCACAGACCCTTGGGCTCCGATTTGTCACACCTGTGTTAACGTTGGTAGCGACAATTAATTAGACGTGGAATCTCCCGACAATACTGCTTGGAAGCGCCAACCAAGAAATTCAAACTTCCAAGCACCTAACCACCAGTTTACAATAGTGAACATTGCAACAGCACAAATAGCTAGACTATACACACTCCAGTTTCTGTTTGACAAGATCAATGCTTAAAACTCAGTACAATGCTATTCTGGACAGTCATCTTCTGAAACATTGATTTCAGTTCTGCCATGTTTGAAGTGGACAGACATACCAAAGCCGTTCCAATATATGGCTGCCGCTCAGTACAAGACCACTGCACACACGTACTTATACTCTATCAATTATAAAGTTAAATATAGAATAATGTTTGTATGTAATTTCTAAGATCATAAGTATGACAAGGAAAAGAATTCTTATGAAGAAGTTTTTTTCTTTACAAAGCTGCTTTGAACAATCCCTTGACAAACCTACAGATGAACCAAGGCGAGATCTGCATTCTTCTAGATTTCTAAATGCAGATTTACATATTTTGAAACTTGACAGTTGCTTTATTTGCATAACTTCATTTGTTTCAAACTACAACCAATAAGTGGAGAAGGATATTTGTATTAGGCTCTGCTACAAATGTCTGATACGCTGTGCACAAAGCCTCAGTGCACACTGGCATCTGGCGAGGAAATTCTCATTGGCAGGCTAATCACCTACGGCCATCTTGACTAAATTACCATAATGTTTTCGAACAAATTACTCGGAGATATTGCTATCAATATCGTCATCTTATATCTTTACGTGTTTTTTCTCCCGTTTGAACATGCCTGGAGTTGTAGTGCCATGCGAATGCCGCATTAGTTATTGGTACGCCACCACACAACATTGGTACGCTAGGTCTGTTAGGGGATTACCGATAATCTAAACAGTCCGTCACTTACTGTCAATCAATGATGCAAATATCTCGTCCAGATATGGTTTTGTTTTCATCTTTACAACAATTATTACAAACCCAATCACTTTTTAATCCTTGAATTATTTTTCTCTTTACACCCTGGGTGTCCTAGAATAATGCCAAGCTAAACGACGTTTATCAATCGAGTTTAGAAGTGACTGCCGAGGGTTAGACGCGAGGGTTAGGTTGTCGACTTAGTTTAAAGGCGCCCTAAAAAATTCTCTAGAATTATGATTCATTATACCGTCAGGTCGCCAAATGAGTTTAGGGGTTCCCTAAATAATAATAACAATAATAATAATAATTTGAGGTTCTTATATACCGCCTTATCACAACCTAGTTTGTAGGTCGTCTCAAAGCAGTTCACAAATTATTATCCGTGGTTATAGGGCTTTTGCAACTAGTCAATATTTTTCTCAACTCCCTGGGGAGCATACAGGTGGTGCTGCCATTTCGGCATTCACAGCTAGCATTCACCAATTCTGGCACTACCCTACCACGTACTCATTTACAGCTGAGTAGACTGGAACAAGCGGGGTATAGTATCTTGCTCGAAGATACGACACAATGCCGTGACGTGACTCGAACACGCAACCCTTCGGTAGCGAGCCCGGCGTCCTACCACTAGACTATTATGCCTCCTAAAATCTGCATGCCTGGCTTTATGGTCAGGTTGTCAAATGAAATTCGGGTTCTCTAGAATAATGCCTGGCTACGGTGCGGTTGTTAATATGGTTTTGGGGTTCTCTACAATAGTATAAATATGCATGGCGATATATTGTCAGGTTGTCTACTGAGTTTTTTCTTACCCCTCCTATTTTCACTAAAGAGATTTCGTTTAATTTTATCACCTAGTGTTGGCATTATCATTCTTAATTATAATTTTTTTCATTATCAAAGGAAACAATGTGAAGCAAACAGGAATTGCATCAAATTCTTTCAGTTTGTTTTGGAAGAGTTTTAATGGTATTTAAGATGCATTTGATAGTGAGAGTGATTTTTTAGATTTAATAAAAGCGGCTGCATCAGGGCTGTTAAGTGTCCCAACCAGGGCTGTTAAGTTCTATTTGAGCTATTTCATTATTCCTGACATACTCAATGAAGAAATACCATGAAGAGTGCTTTTTTTTTGCCTGTTAGATTTACGGCACTTTTTCGCTCTTACACAAAATTCATCCAAAAGTCCTTTATCTAAACAAGGCCATGGTCGAATTTGCTAAGTGGACAGTTTGATCAGGATGGTTCAGCAATCAGAACAAGCTGTTGTTTATAGGGCTTGGTAGGATAGGATTATTGTAGATATATTTGCCTTGATATTGAAGAAGATACATTGTTGAGTTTGTAAAGCTATCTACCCCTATTACCCTAATTGGTTTAGTACGAGGGGATTCGTTCGTACCAGTAACTGGTTTTTATTGTATTCATAGGTTTGCTTATCAAGATTATGTATCTATGAAGGGGAAAATTTATTATTTTTACTCCTTTCTTTTAAATGAAAACAACCCTATCGACTTCCACAGGAAATATAGAGCCCCATTTATCCAGAAATATGGAGTTCAAATGAAAACTCAGGTATAGCTATAAATATTCAGCGAAGAAAATAGGAATATAATTGGTTATCAAAAACTGGAACGTAAATTTGTTAATGTTTACTTTCCGAGTTTGTATTAACACTATTCAGCAATTGTCTACTACGTCGGTCAGACATGCTTTTACGATTTAGTAGCTGATAACTGATGATGTCAAATAATCATTTACTAGAAGTATACTGTTTGAATCATTGTCTCGGTCTCCTTTAATTCCGAAGACCCTCATATTTTTCGAGTGTGCTCATCTGGTAAGTTAGATAACACCCTACCTATGACTATGTAGCTAACAGTGGTACAGTATGCTGTTACATGTGTGTTGTGGACAAACATGATCTTCAGACCACTTAAACTAATACCAGTGACTAAATTAGTCTGACCTCAGCAGCAACATTTCCCTGACTATACATATCACTGAATTCTTACCCAAATCACAAGGATTTAAAACACAAACAAGTTGTCCCTGAACCCTCCAAGTCCAAGTTAACCAAATCCCCCTTACTGTTATGAATTTACATGGTTTCAATAAGCAAGCCATTTACAATTTGGCATTTTGTTTCATTAAAAATAATTGGTGAGATTCAAATTTGGTTAGATTTGAGTTATATTGTTGGGAAAGAATCTGCATTAGAGTGTTTGATAAGAATCCAAAGATAATTAATAAATATGTTTTGAAAAATATTCTCTTCACCACATTTTTAGCGTTTTATCGGAGAAATGAGATACTGCATGATGTCAGACCTATGACAGGTATAAATCAGGGCTATGAATGTCCAGAATAAACTCTATATATCGTTATAAATATCTTAAATGTACGTAGTAGATCTTATTAGATTTCAACTGTTTTGAAAGAATTACATTTCATTGTTTATTTGCTTGATTTGAAATTATAATTCACAAATGAGTTTAATAGAGACTGTATTGGTGAAAAGATTAGGAAATTTTTCAAAATGAGACAATTTCTGCTTCGGACATTCATCACCTTTGACATAACATTTCTTACGTAGGGTGATAATAAAAATGAAATGCTACATACCTCTTTCTGCCGAATATGATAGAGTCACGAGGCAGGAAATGACCCCTAGAACACCGCTGATTTTCATGATGACAGCTTTACAGCTGTGTCTTTGTTTTTACCTGAAATTGGACCACAAAATACAACATACAACATCTAACTTTACCACTCTAGATGTACCATCATCCCTCCACCAGACAGTCCGTTAGTAATCCACCAAGATTAGTAATCCGCGGAGATTAGTAATCCAGAGTCTCATCCAAAATGTCTGTTCGTCTTACGACACATTTTACAGAGGTCAATACAGAAATGTTAGTAAGGTGTATATATCCACGTTCTCCACAATTCCACTAAACTATAAGTAGGTGTTGTTTAAAGAGTTAATCAAAGACCATAACCTCTGACCTAATGGGTTATTGTTTATACAGGTAATCCGAAGTTAACCTTTGACCCTATAGGCTATTGTTTATACAGGTAATCCTAAGTTCTAAGTTCCCTACCTATACTGCTAATCAATATCCACTTCCAACGTGATATACTTTCCCAGTACTCCGAACCTTACCCACACGGAAAATTTCACCGGGAACAAATCTGTTCCCTAAAAGGATTTGTCTGTACAATCAACAGTAATAATGATCTAATCCATTATGGGCCTTTTTTTTGCAAGGATTACATTAAAAATCTTATTACCTCTGATGAAACTCAAGGGGAAAAAATCACAGTACGAGCAAATTTTCTGGCCCAATTGGTGGATGGGAGTAAGATACGAGGTTAGTTTCCAGCTCTGTCAGACAACATGAGGGATGCCATTAGTACCTGCGTTTGTTTTGAAATCCAATTTCTCAATCGAATACCATATGGGCACCTTCAGACACACTAAAACATTGAGTAATCGCTACTAATTTTCTTCAGGTTAATTCTAGCTTGGCTCTGTAAATTGATAAAAATCACTCCTGAAATTTCTCTCCTGAGAAGGAAAAAATAATCCAAACACAAAACCTGAGAGACCTTGGCCCTTTACTTCTCCAGGAATTAACCTCACCAGATGATTAGCCATGTAAAAAAAGGGCCTCATTTGTCATGTCGAACGGAAGTGTTCCCAAGTGTTTAAACAAATGTTTCCAAGCTTCCAATCCACCTGCCTTGTTGTATTGGTGACACTATATACCAGTATGTTCTGTATGTCACTCAGCAACTCTACCAATAAGCAATGATGCTTGGGTGCTCTCCGCTGCCAAGCAAAGGCAAAAGTCAGCGAGACGCCTTCTCAGCATCAGTATGAGCCAAACATGGATCGAGAAGGAAGACCCAATAGGGACACGTTAGGATGCGACTCGATGAGTGGAAGGGTAGCACAATGCCAAGATCATGCACAGAAGTGTTAGTAACCAGAACAACTAGATCTGGCACGTTCCCCTTGCACTAGCAACTATCCACTCACAATGATTGAACCTTAATTGGGTTTAACTAGAAGTATTTCCCTCAAGAGAAAGTCAAATTTTCAGATTAATTTTGCAAATTATAATTTCTTTTCATGAAAGCCAACTTTTAGTTTTGATTATTCCAGCCGATATTTTCCCTAGTATGCAGAGCGAGTGTGAACTGTCCTAGAGATAACTATAGTACTTGAAGTTCAATACAACCCATGCAAATTTTATGAGCAAACTTATCATGTATTAATAAATTAAACTTCGACATTTTGCATGTCAGGTTTTTAGAAAATGAATGTATTCTTGTATAGTGTCTGTTGATTTGATTTTCATTGGGAAATAAACAACTGAAGGAAGTTACCTAGCATCGATTTCTAGCAGGTAAGAAATCAGAAGATCAAAGGCAAGACTCAGAATTTAAAGTCAGCCGATTTATTCCAAAACAGGCAAAGGTAAAAAAGGTAAGTCTATAAATAGACTGACAGGTGAGAATCTAAACTTATTAAGGAAAGGTACGTTTCACATTGACCTGTACAGTTAAACAAAATAATTAACCCTTTCACCCCTATGTAACTTTAGGAGACTCTACCATGCATTGATATGGATTAGTCCATTATATGGTGGTGAAAGGGTAAACTGATGTTTTGGGGTATATTAATTAGCTAAACGGTGCATTTCACTGGTATAGTGGTAAAATCTCGGTTAGTATGAGTGTTATATAAATGTAGGTTTTAATTAAATAAATGTTTAGAAGATTCAGTATAAAGAATTTGACAGAATTTTAAATAAAAACAATTTACTAAACAGATACAATACAATTAATATACAATACAATCATCGCAAAAACTGATGGGATTTGTTTTAGTAGTAACTTTTAATTTTTCTTTTTCCTTTTTTTGTTGTTGATGAATATAATTGAAAAATTCACCAATATTGATTGTCTGTCTTTCAAATATATTGAATATAATCTGTGAAAGGTTATAGGTCAAAACAGGTTAATTCTACAAATGTTTCAACATTTATATACATGGATATTCATGAATGATTAAGGAAAGAATGATACTTATCAAGTATAGTCCCGAAATGTCAAAGACCTCGAAATGTCAAAGACGGAAGAATATATCACGGAAAGAAAACAATTTGATTCTATAGACATGTAATTTATGTGTATACATACATATGAACGTCTTCGTTTGAGCGTAATAAACTTATGAGGAGATCTCGATGTCATCACAGGAACACAGTTATACCTACATTTGTCTCGTAGGACTTCAGGGGCCAGATAATATTGTACATTTACGACCGCCATGAACAATGATAATGCATAGGGCTCTCAGTGCTAAACATGAATAGCTATATAGTGTACCTAAAATCTAATCTGTTACGAGGGTCAGTCAAAATTTGACCTGTCCCCACAGGTATATATTTACCTATATTTCTACCTGAGAGATTTATCTACCCTAGATAAACAAAGATAACAACAAAAATCAGAGATCCCCCACCACTAAAACACACAGGTAAATATGGTCACCTGTATTTCTACAGGTATATATATAGACAATACCTCACCAGCACTCACAGAACTTAGTCTTGTAAGTACATCCTTAAAATTTGTATAAATCCCAACAGTTTTCTTCACAAAAACACTAAAACTGGTTTAAAATGGTCTGATTAAAATCCAAACTGTTTCCTTTTGGTTTTGTCACTGACTAGTGTATGTGTAGCACCGTTAGTATCCTCACAATTTACAGGTGTCCATACTGTAGACCATGACACATACACTACGGCCTGTATACACTCATTCACTTAGCCCCAAGTTTTCCCATTATACACGAGTCTAAATGCCCAGGGGACACCAGCTTTTGAATAGTGTTGGTTCTTTTTATCACTCCCAGCCAATCAAAGACGTCCTTACAAGTGACACTGGCCATGTCAACTCCAATGGCTAAGGGGGGACAACCCAGGTAAGTCCAGCTAGCACATACAGGTGTGTAATGGCACTGGTCTGATTTCACCTGTACAGGTCACAGTTCATTAACTCCTGGTATAGTAAAAACGATGAATGGGAATGGAATTAGGTCAGATACCCAGACCGTTCTTAATAACCCCCTATGTTTTCACACACCACACTGAGATCAAGGGAATAGGAACTCATTAAGATTTTTACTTTTGTACCACCTAACCAGGTAAGATTAAACATCTCATTAATGATTTAAAAATAGAAACATGGTCAGTGCTCTACATTGGTCAATGGCCTAAGGACGAGATTGAACAAACAGACGGTTTGTTTATTTATTTATGGCAGGTTTTAAACAAATAAAAACATCATGTATGTACAATGCCTCAGTATGTTGGACCAGGTTGTGTTTTCTTCACTATAGGTATATATCTGCCAAAACTTGAACCAGATATGTGAATTACTCCGGTACGGAACAAACTTCCCATTCAGCCTTAATGAATGAACTGCACACATGCTATTAGAACATGAAAATGCTCAATCATGTTGGGACACCGGCCAATGAATTGTTTTTATTACCAGCCAAAAGTACATGTTTGTATCATACCATGTGCTCAGTAGCTGTGAAACCTTGTTAGCTTAAATAAGCAAAAGCAGAAATTATCTAAGGTGCTTTTTTTATGATTCAGATATTTCTATTTCCATGTCTTGATTTTTCTTTCTCTCAGAAGATATTAAGAATTGTTACATATATACAAACTTCTGCTAAATTTCAGTTTACACAATTTTAACACTATAGATACTCATGTTGACTGTTATCTTATCAAGCTTACCAGACTTCTGGTTTGGAACAGTAACAAACAATGGTATACATTTCTTGTCCTTGTTGAAAAACTCAACAATGCCACCTTATGTAAAGCAGTCTGTGGAACAAAAATCTCTTGTACTTCGTCAAAAAATCTTATTTCTATCATTTTTTTTTATTCTGCTTCAATAATCAATATGAGAGAGAAAATTTGAAGAACATTTTACAAATTGATTTTAAGAGACTAAAATAGAGTGTCTGTTCCAATAGAGCTAAAAAGTGTTTGAAATAAACTGGTCTCACCTTTCTATGGGTGCAGTTAAACCGTTTAATTTTCAATGAGGTGCAGAGGTCATTCACGGTGTGCTCTGTTTTTGCTAACATGTATTGCAGTACATGTACCTGTCTAGGAAGGCCACATTCATTGTACAAAACTAGCTACACTATGATTCAGAGCTATTGTCAAATTAAAAACCAAATTTAGTCACAACTAATAAGCACCTGTATTGAGAGGGCTCCCTTGATATATTATGTAACGTGTATTGTTTCTGTACTCCTCAGTAAATTATCATACAAGACCATCTGTTATCTGTTGTCAGACATCTAAGCAGTTATAGCTTTTTTGTGACACGTTGTTGCTTACAAGTGACATTTGTCTGTAAGTCATCACAAAATAAACCTGTCTGAAGAGACCACCTATATAAAAACCCTTCTCTCAGCACTGTATAGCAAATTTAACCTGTCCATGAAGACCACATAAGGCAGGATAAACTGTGCAAGTGACCATTGTCCCTCAAGGCAGATTCCACTGCAGTGTCAATGGTCCCTAAATAAGGTTCAAATATAGTGACAGCAGTCTTTCAAGACAGGTTCTGTGCTTAGTGGTCTATCAAGGCAGGTTAACTGTAGTGACAGTGGTCTTTTTAGACAGGCTCAACTGTAGTGACAGTGGTCTCTTAAGACAAGTTCAACTGTAGTGATAGTGGTCTCTTTATACAGGTTCAACTGTAGTGACAGTGGTCTCTTTATACAGGTTCAACTGTATTGACATTGGTCTCTTTAGACATGTTCAACTGTAGTGAGTGGTCTCTCAAGACAGGTCCAACTGTAGTGACTGGTCTCTCAAGACAGGTCCAACTGTAGTGACAGTGGTCTCTCAAGACAGATTCAACTGTAGTGACATTGGTCTCTTTAGACAGGTTCAACTGTAGTGACAGTGGTCTCTCAAGACAGGTCCAACTGTAGTGACAGTGGTCTCTCAAGACAGATTCAACTGTAGTGACAGTGGTCTCTCAAGACAGGTCCAACTGTAGTGACATTGGTCTCTTTAGACAGGTTCAACTGTAGTGACAGTGGTCTCTCAAGACAGGTCCAACTGTAGTGACAGTGGTCTCTCAAGACAGGTTCAACTGTAGTGACAGTGGTCTCTCAAGACAGGTCCAACTGTAGTGACATTGGTCTCTTTAGACAGGTTCAACTGTAGTGACAGTGGTCTCTCAAGACAGGTCCAACTGTAGTGACAGTGGTCTCTCAAGACAGATTCAACTGTAGTGACAGTGGTCTCTCAAGACAGGTCCAACTGTAGTGACAGTGGTCTCTTTAGACAGGTTCAACTGTAGTGACAGTGGTCTCTCAAGACAGGTCCAACTGTAGTGACATTGGTCTCTTTAGACAGGTTCAACTGTAGTGACAGTGGTCTCTCAAGACAGGTCCAACTGTAGTGACAGTGGTCTCTCAAGACAGGTTCAACTGTAGTGACAGTGGTCTCTCAAGACAGGTCCAACTGTAGTGACATTGGTCTCTTTAGACAGGTTCAACTGTAGTGACAGTGGTCTCTCAAGACAGGTCCAACTGTAGTGACAGTGGTCTCTCAAGACAGGTACAACTGTATTGACATTGGTCTCTTTAGACAGGTTCAACTGTAGTGACAGTGGTCTCTCAAGACAGGTCCAACTGTAGTGACAGTGGTCTCTCAAGACAGGTACAACTGTATTGACATTGGTCTCTTTAGACAGGTTCAACTGTAGTGACAGTGGTCTCTCAATACAGGTACAACTGTATTGACATTGGCCTCTTTAGACAGGTTCAACTGTAGTGAGTGGTCTCTCAAGACAGGTCCAACTGTAGGGACTGGTCTCTCAAGACAGGTCCAACTTTGGTGACAGTGGTCTCTTTAGACAGGTTCAACTGGAGTGACAGTGGTCTCTCAAGACAGATTCAGCTGTAGTGACAGTGGTCCCTCAAGACAGGTTAACTGTAGTGACAGTGGTCTCTCAAGGCAGGTTAAACTGTAGTGACAGTGGTCTCTTTAGACAGGTTCAACTGTAGTTACAGTGGTCTCTCAAGACAGATTCAACTGTAGTGCCAGTGGTCTCTTTAGACAGGTTCAACTGGAGTGACAGTGGTCTCTCAAGACAGATTCAGCTGTAGTGACAGTGGTCCCTCAAGACAGGTTAACTGTAGTGACAGTGGTCTCTCAATACAGGTACAACTGTATTGACATTGGCCTCTTTAGACAGGTTCAACTGTAGTTACAGTGGTCTCTCAAGACAGATTCAACTGTAGTGACATTGGTCTCTTTAGACAGGTTCAACTGGAGTGACAGTGGTCTCTCAAGACAGTCAAGGCAGGTTAACTGTAGTGACAGGGGTCTCTTAATACAGATTCAACTGTAGTGACAGTGCTCTCTTTAGACAGATTCAACTGTAGTGCCAGTGGTCTCTTTAGACAGGTTCAACTGGAGTGACAGTGGTCTCTCAAGACAGTTCCAACTGTAGTGACAGTGGTCTCTCAATACAGGTACAACTGTATTGACATTGGCCTCTTTAGACAGGTTCAACTGTAGTGACAGTGGGCTCTCAAGACAGGTCCAACTGTAGTGACAGTGGTCTCTTTAGACAGATTCAACTGTAGTGACATTGTTTTCTAAGACAAGTTCAAATGTAGTGACAGTGGTCTCTTGAGACAAGTTCAACTCTAGTTACAGTGATCTTTCAAGACAGGTTCAATGGTCTCTTAAGACATGTTCAACTGTAGTGACTATAGTTTCTCAAAACAGGCTGTGTCTAACAGGCTATGTCCTGACACTGGTCATTCAACGCGGGCTCTACTGTAACGGTGTATGGTTATCTGTGTACCAATCAAGTTATTAATTATTCATAAACAATACTTCTGTGTAATATTTAATCCCAGCCATTTATTGCCTAGCAACGTCAAATAGTATCCCCGTCATAAAAAAGATTGCATTGGAATGATACAGAATATTAAAAAGGTCACATGATCTGTTTGACGCGGAAGCTGACAGGACCGCTTCATTATCACACTAGTTTCTCCATTAAAGCTTTTGTCAGGATTATTCTGATATTGAACATATACACCTAATTGAACAGTCATTTTTTTTATTTTTTTTCACACGATGTTGCAAGGTTAACTTATCATCATCACATGACGGATAACAAACCCTTTTTGTATTTAAGAATATTGAATATCAGTTCATATCCTGATTTATAGAATTCTAAGTGTGAATTGATTATGATCGTGACCTCCTGTTAGGGTTTGTTTTGTACTCTAAAATCAGGTAAAAAAAATAAGTACTTTTAACAGGATCATTTCATAATTGGTCAATCTATGAAATAAAAAAATCCCATACAGGTACATTATCGTGATTATATACACTGACTTTAAATAATCATCTATATAAGCTTTGACACAAGATATTACGTCCCGCCCAGACCAAATAATGGCAATCTATTATGTATTTGACAATAAAATTGCATAGATTATATTCATAATTTATGTAATGCACTTAATTAAATTTATAGCTCAGTTTTTTATCATTTCTGAATTGTATTGGATTTGAATATGTCATTACCTTATAAAGATTTAAATAGCTTTTTTACAATCCATGACAAATATCCTTTCTTTGAAGGGATATTTTTTTTTTTTGAATTATGAAAATTGTTGTGAATTATGTTACAATTGTCGCCAGTTACGTCAGCATTGCTATGACCCCGGCCTACCACCTGTTATGGCATATAAATATTGACATGTATCGCCCTGCCATTCTCTCCGAGGGTGCCCCGACCCCTAGAGGGTCACATAATAACCCTAATTACAGGGCACAGGTTAGGTGTATCCTTTCAGTTCTATAATTATTGTCGGAGCACAAAGCCAACACGCTGTGTTCCTAGACCGACAGGAGTTGTCTCCCTTCCCATTGTGAAAAAAGTCATTGTTGTATAGAGTCCGCCCAAGATAAGAACAAAGCTGTCTTGTAACCCACAGAGATCATCTTTATCCTGATGATTACATATCAAACGGGAATAAAATGATAAGAGAGCTCACTCTAAAGCACATGGCAGCTCATTTATAGAGGATTTGGCATCCAGTAAGTTAACCTTCTGATTCATCAAAATAATAATCCTGATTCAAACAAACGACATATAAAGATGGTGAAATACATAAATTATAGACAAATGTAACTTAAACTTAAAACTTGGGGATCTGTACTGAAGATAAACTACATCTCCATGTTAACCATCAGTAAAGATGGATCATGATTTCAGTGTAGATTTTTAACATCGATCGTTGTGTTCATTCTGCGGTATTAAACGTTGTCCACCAGACTGCTTCAGGGTACAAGATATGCGTGGAGAGATGATGGTATATTTTCACAATATTAAATACAATGTGAATAACACGTGAAAAGATAAATACAAATTAAACTCAGTAAAGCTATGTACATAAACCCCTATTACCACTGTAAAACCTTATACGGGCACCTTCTGCCGCACATGATCGTTAGCATGTTAACAGATATAATTACAGATACACATTTCTCGTATGAATACACCCGAGTAAATATTGGCGAGATCTATAAAAACACTTTGAACCCCTCCCTTTTATAAATGCATATATAGATATGTAATTGTGAAATTTCTGCAAATCAAATTCTGTATTTACCTTGTAATATTTTTTACGATAAGAAAATTATGATTTATAAAGATAGACGTTACAATGTTTTAGTTCCTCGTCTGTAATCGTGACTAGAGCGTCAGAATAAGCCTCTGTGGTGGGCCTATAATTAACTACTTACCATGCCACCTGGTGGAGCTTCTGTAGAGACACAGAAATACCGTTATCCAGTTAATCTATCGTTACATGACTCAACCAATATATCTGAAAAATACAAATGATACAAAATGTCAATATATTTTAAAAATTTAAAATGAAAATGTTCTACAATATTTCAAATGATAATTTAATTCAGATCAGGTAATCAGCATGCACTGGTTATGAATAGTTAAATCTGAAATGGAAAACAAGGATGTAATATTAAAACAAACAAAAATTTACTGAAGCATAAAACATTAGATATTGTAATAGTGTTCTGTTAGTAACATCTGTAGGTTTATTTAACTTGTGAACATGTGTTTTTCCAGATGTCAGCTGCTGTACTCTGTCTGTTCTGTGACAATTGACAAATAACGTCTAACTAAACTTAAACAAAATCTCTTATTTTTTAAAAATCTGAATAAAGTTTTTAATAACTGACCTTATGAAACAGCAGTGTCTTAAAAATATTATCTCACCACTAGTATACCCCAGATGTTGGCTGTCAAATTACTGCTTTAGATGCTAATTCAAAGAAAACAGTAAGTACAATAATTTATAAATAAACCTCGTAGCAGAGATTTCACCCTGACCTGAAATGACCTTCGGCCCATGTGACTGTCTATACTTTCACAGAGAGAAATGGTATGGGGATGTCTGTACAAACATGTGGTATAGCATGTACCACTGTCACAGAGAGAAATGGTCTGGGGATGTCTGTACAAACATCTGGTATATAGCATGTACCACTGTCACAGGGAGAAATGGTCTGGGGATGTCTGTATAAACATCTGGTATAGCGTGTACTACTGTCACAGAGAGAAATGGTCTGGGGATGTCTGTATAAACATCTGGTATAGCATGTACCACTGTCACAGGGAGAAATGGTCTGGGGATATGTCTGTATAAACATCTGGTATAGCATGTACCACTGTCACAGAGAGAAATGGTCTGGGGATGTCTGTAAAACATGTGGTATAGCAGCATTTTATAGTTGTAACAGAGACAAACATTAATCTCATGTTAGACAGCTGTAACTGGTTTCTAAAATATACATAAACATCAGAAGTAAGAGCTGTATATGGACCACCCTACAAACGACACGGAAGACAAATAGCTGTAGCGAAAAACTAATTTCAAATAGCAGCAGAAATATGTATTTGTGATGGTTAAAAACTAACCTGGTTGCCTATAAGTAGTTTACTAAAATCACTTGTTCTAACTTTTTAATTGTAAGAAATTTACAAGAAATAGGAAGAGTATTTATACATTGGCTATGACTATTTGATTTTAAAAGTAAACATGATCTCCACCAAAACTTCACAAAAGACGTTGCCCACCAGAGGGAGCTTTACTAGCCATGGAGCTGTTATAATAATGCTGATTTTTCTTTCCAGAATTTGTTCTAAAAATGAGTGTTGTATAAATATATGTGCCCAGCAAGTACACCTCAACTGGTACAAATTTAAATCATCACCTAAACAGTCTGATATATGGGGCATGCTGGGAAGGACAGAGACCGCCCTGTACACAACTTATCAGCGCCCTCAGAGGACAAGCCCAGCATCCCTAATCTACAGAAAGACATAATTGACATTAAGATTTCCACAAGACTATTACATAAACAAAACTTTGGACTGAATTCAAGACACTGGTTCAAAAATGGATTCTGATGTATTTATGAATTAATCATACAATTTTTAAAAAAGTTATTTTTTTAGTAAGAAGAATATGACACTATTCCCTGTTCAGTTACAGACACAAGTTCTAGTACAGAAGTAATTTGATAGAATTTGATCAAGAGATGCAGCGTTAAATGAGCATGAAAAGTATTGATATTGAAAATATATTTTCATCATATCAATTTTCCTCTGTTTTATAATTTCCTGTTTATATACCCATTAGTGCTCTCTAAAATCAATAAAACCAGACTTGCAGGATCTGCCTGACATGTAATTACTAAATGAGGGGCTCTCCAGAACCTTGGGTACAATGTGATCCTACGCTATACACCCAAATAGCCCTGTACCGGCAGATACACAATAATATGCGTCTTCGATTATAAGCTAGGCAGAAGGGAGACTAGCATTGATTTTTCACACAGTCATCTGTGGATTGAAGGGTGTGCAGAAAGCTGCCCCAAAACAAAGCATGACTCACAGACCGTTCTGACCAGCGCTTATAAACAATGCTACTGTCTGGCCATAATTTGCCTAACCCAGACATGTAGATGAGATCTCTGATTGGCTAAGCTTGTAGATTGTGGGTTTTGATTGGCTAAGCTCTTTAAGCCATAATTCATCTGAGGAAATAGGAATTGTCATCCCACGTCACAATTCTGTATCACTCTGAAGTTTCTATAGAAGTGTCAAGGCCCGTTAACTCCCAGTATAAACCTGTGTCGATCATCCGGTGAGAAGGCCCGATTGTTTTTGTGCGTACCTGATGAAATGCAGGTACAGTACACTAGGTGGATTGTTGTAAGATATAGCTGTGTACTGCACAGTATAGACAGGTCAGAAATGGGTATCATTGACCTTTCACCTGGTGATGACCCTGAGAAAGATTCCGATGAGGTAATAGTTTCTGTACAGGGATTTTTTAACAAACTTCAAAGATTTCATATCAAGGTCAATCACAAATAACACAAGAGTTAACACACAAGGTATTTCCTAGCAATAATATCAATTACGCAAATTTAAACGAGCAAATTAGTATTTTTCAACATTATAACAAAAATAAACAACACAAATGACGATTCCTGTTAACAGTCTGTCCTGTGTAAAAGTGACGGACAATCCCCTCCCAATAGTTTTTTTCCACATAAAGCCATCTTGATAACATTGTGATGGTGAAGACACATTATCTTAAGTGTACTGGGTGTTTTAGCATCATAAACTACTGGTTATATATATTTATATTTGAAATTATCCAATTATAATTTTCTTTATTGTAAAAAAAAAAATGATAAAATCAATTGTACGTTTATATTAGATTATGTAAGCGTCGTACAAGTAAGGTTGTCAGTGATCGTAAAACCTCTTGGTGACCTGGACCACTTTACAGGTTTGCTATACAGAAATTGATTAGGACTTGCACTCCTAACAATTAAGTCTACCTGTTCATTTCCTGTGTTACCTTAACGGAAGTATGATTATGATCACCGATTCCCGTCTACGTAGAAACACGGAAATGAGATACAGTCAGGAATGTGATCGGGAGACGAACACAAACCTCTATAGAGATGCTTCGCTGATTGTCACGGTGAGAAGACGTAATAGTCAGTGGCAAGCCAATACAATTTTTAAATAGTATGGCATTACTTTCTGCGTAATATATTTGTCATGAAATTAATCATAAACTTTAATAATAAAATCCCCCCCCCCCCCCCCGAAGAGGTGCAATATCAAAGAAAACCACAATATCCTTCCTTCCTATAAAAAAATACTAGAACGAGTTTTAAATCTTTTTGTGTGACATAGATTTGAACTAAATAACCTACCCTGTATTAATCATACGTCGAACGTGTACAGCACTTAGGAATGGTGTAATCTGTCTTCACAATCTTAAGACTTACCACCATGTACGCTTATATTGAAATTGACTTAGGATAATAATCCCCCAGTGTATACAAAAACTGGCTTAAATGCAAATTTTAGAACTTTGAAGTTATTATGAAAATAATGTAAATTTAAAAAAAATAAATATCAAACACTCTTGCTTTTAAACAAGAGCCCTCACTCCAGAGTGAATCTATAAGATGAAAGCATGTGTACAAATATATTACTATCATCAATATCATTGACACCACATAGCAGGTCGGGTATACAAACACAAGTCATAAACAGGTACACTGTATCACCTGATCTGGCCCGGTTAATGCCAGTTTGTCTAATGACTCATCAATGAAAGTGGTCTCCCTTTGATATCGATGGTCAGAGGTCGTAGGGCGTGTACAACATTGACAATTTGTACACACAAACAGACAGCCTACCTGTGATTACATACCTGTAATGATGATAACGAGATATTACTCTGATAGCCTATCTATATGTAGCCGAAGTGTCGGATATACACCTGTGTGTGACTAGCCAATACAACGCGGTGGACAGTGATTATTACGTATCTGGGCGGAGATTTCACTCTAAACAAGGGGATAAGGTCATTAGCTAAACAAGTCACTTGACGGCCACAGTAGGTGTTCCACGCCACAAAGAGAGCGTTGGTTCTCCTCAAACCCTCTCATTCTTCCCAGTACACAAGTTATGCTTGTTACAGGGTTACAGGGTCAATTCTCCTCAATTTATAGGGCACATCTTCTTAATCTTCAATACAAACGACTTACACTTGATTCAGAGGTCAGCTCCCCTCACACTTGGCCAGACATTTTCTCTGACCCTCAAACTTGGCCACACATTTTCTCTGACGAGTTAAGTATAAACAGTACACATCTTTCAGGGTTGAAGGTCTTTTTTTTCCGAATCTTGGTCCATTAATTTCTACATTTTCAAGTACAGTCCACTGTTGGTATAGTCATTCCTCTTTTAACGTGGACAGACGTGTTCTCTGACACAGTAAATTACAGAAGGTACACTGTCCAACTCTTTTCAGTGGTCAAATCTCTTCAAACTTATAAAGGTATTCTCCAACTTTTTCAATGACAGAAGGTATTCTGTTTTTGAAAGAAGAACCTTAATTCTCATGAAACCATTGTTTCAAAGTATTTAATATCTTTTACTCTCAAGTAATGAAAGGATATTTTTTCATTAAGCTGCTGAAATATATACCATTCTTTAATATATATATTTGTAAATATTCTGCAGTCAATTTAAAAAAAAAAAAAAAGTTCAAAACTTGTTTCTTCTTTAAATGGTCAGCATACATTTTTCTTTGGTATTTTTCCTATCTACCATCATTGTGCATAGAAACTTGTAATTACAAAAAACAGATTGGATTTGTCTCTTTGAATTTTGCTGTAAAATATTTTTTAAACATTTTCTACAGAGATTTTTTTTCTATTTAATTTGCAATGATCAAAACATATGCAATATTTTAGATGCAAGGTT